TTTAAATTTAAAATGCCATATAATTAAATAAAACTTATGCCTACTTATAAAAATGTAAAACAAAAAGGGGTTGAGGGGTGTGGAGGGTGTTGGGAGTGGATGGGGGATATGATACTTCATTTGTATGATGTGATAGTATTTGCCATTGATGAAGTCTTCAATCAACAAATAAAATATACTTATATTAAAGCTCAAGATATCATGGACGCAATGAGGTTGATGGATAATTTTAAGAATGATTTTGCAAGTCACATTAATAATAAAAATAAATAAAATAAAATATATTATAGTTTTTGTTTTGTTTGATAATTGATACAAATATAAAAGAAATCATCGGTGGGATCAAAATAAAATTGTATTAATACTAAGAGTTGAGACTTCGTCTGATACATGGCTTGGTCGTAAGTCCTATTTGAAATGGGCTTTCAAGACTAAAAGGCCCATATAAAGAAATGGGCTGAGAAAGTGTGATAAGAAAATACTGGGCTGTAGTCCATCCACCAAATTGCTATATCATATTAACTTGCGATTTTTTTTCCTTTCTTTTCGGATTGACAGAAAGACAAATGTAAAGTAAAACTTTATTATGTGATTTGATTACAGCAGGACAGGTATATATAAAGTTATTAAGAGCAAAAAAAACAATAAAAAACAAATTAATTTTCCTTACTTCTATTTGTCAAAAATTGGCAACGTGAGATTATGGGTCTGTTTGGGACAACTTTCTCACTGTTTTATTTTTCATAGTTCAATTATAATTTTATTTGACTACTGCTTTCTTACAATTTTTTTAAAGAAATTTAAGTACTAGAAAGCTGTTTTTATGACAACATTCAAAAAAATTATTTTCGTCACAATACCCTTACATTTGCATTTATAAAAAGCTACAACCATTTCAAATAAGACCTTAAAATAAAGAAAGAGGAAGCAAAGTTGATCTGAAAATGAATATAAAGTTTATTTCGCAGCTAATGTATTGTTTTATAATTTAATATATTGCTACATTAGATCAAACCAAATCAATACTAAAATTAAAGTATAATAATATTACTTAGGTTTTGTTTGGGGCGGCTTTTTTACTGTTTCTTAAAACAACTTTCTAGCATAAAAATTTTAATTTTTATACTAAAAAACTGTTCTAAGAAGCAACAAGAAAGCAGTCCCAAATGAAGCGTTAGATTTCATTTGGGACAGCTTCTTTAATGCTACTTAAAACAGTTTCTTAGTTCAAAAATTAAAATATTTGTACTAGAAAGTTGCTTTAAGAAACAGTAAGAAAGTTGTCCCTAACGAAATCTTAATTGAAAGAGAGAGAGAGAGAGAGAGAGAGAGATAAAGAGCGAGGCTTCAATAAATCCGTTCTCTAGTGAGGGAGAGTGCCAACATAGGATACTATGCACTATATAATTCATGGAATATTTTTAATTACGATGTGAGGTAATGATCAGTCAAAAACAATGGATATTATGGGCAATAATTCCTTCGATGCTATCATTAGGTAGCATGATCAATTTAATGAGTGCTTACCCTTCAATGATAATGTTCAAACTTATTTGATCTATGGAATCAATTTACAAATATGATAAGCCTTTACTTTGTTTTAATTTCATCATTTTAGTAAGATTTGTGTCAAAGTCTATAAAAGAGTCCAATAAATCAATGAAATTTTGGTGAAATTGATCTTTAAGCTAAGAAATTTCTGAAAAAGTTGTAAGATGGTTCTAAAATAGTGTGTTTGTTTCATATTAGTTCTATTAAAAAATAGGATATCATAAAAAAATCAAGAATAAATAATAATATAATAATTATATTTAAGCGAGCAATGTTCGGAAAATCAATCCTAACGGTTCTAGACAAGTAGGGTCAAGTTCGAGCTATTCCTAACTTGAGCTTGAGATGATCTGGGACAACTTTCTTTGTGCTTTCTAAGGTCTTTTGTCAGTACAAAAAATTTTTGTACTAAAAAACTGCTTTAAAAATCAGTAAAAAAAGCTGATTCAAATGAAACATTAATAATTAATCGAATTTGAGCTTGAGAGCTCGAACTTAATTACATATTCGAGTTAACTCGGATATTATAAAAGAGATAATAATTTTCATTCAGGCATTTATTGTAATAAAATGATAAAAAATGAGAAAAAAAAAGAAGAAATTATTTGATATAACTAGGCGATATATGATTTTTATATAGTGTATTAATTTTGTACTTAAATTATATTTAACACATTTTAAGTATATTTTATATTAATATATCTTAAATCAATTAGCACACCAACTAACGAGTCGAGTTGGGAATTGCTCAAATTTGACTCTGTGGCTCATGAAATTTAGCTTTTATCAAGTTGAGCCGAGTCGACTCAACCAAGTCACATCTCTCTAAGTCTAGGAGAGTTTAGAATTGTTTTGACTGATTTTTTTTTTCCGTTTCAAATTCTTAAAATTTTTAATGGCCATCAATCTAAATATTTTTATTTATTACTAATGAATTATATTATGAAGTAAATCTATGAAATTAAATGACTGATCATATTATGCTAATTTTAAGGCACTAATGATTATATTAGGCAAATGATAATTGTTTCATTTTAGGCAATCTAATCATGTGCTAATGAAATGTTAACAACTTTGCTTAGACAAAAATTATATAATTCAACATATATTTGTCATTAGAGGGATTTACAATTTTTCATACATACCACTTTATATCATGACATTTACATATCTAACATAAAAATTGTTAATATCTCATGTCTATCATCTATTGATCAAATACAGGTGCAAATAATAAAATATTAAAATTTATAGTGTAGTTTACGCGGTAAAAATGAAATATAATATAAGTTAGTGGTGTCAATATTTGATATGACCCGAAAACCCAACTCGAACTCGACCCGAAAATTTTGGGTTAGGATCAACGCGGACTCGAAACGTATCGGGTTTAGGTTCAATAAATCAACTCGTTTCAAAAAATGGGCCGGGTTGACCTAGAAGCCTGAAATCGACCTATTTTTGGCCTAGAAATCCGAGATTGACCCATTTTTTGATCTGAAAACTAGCAATGTTTGGTCGGTCATGAGTCATTCGGGTTGTGTTAGGTTGACTTGGACTCGAAGTGGGTTAGATTCGGGTCCGAAAACCAACCCGTTTGCAAAAATGGGTTGGGTTTGGGTTGACCCGAATAGTGCCGGATCATTTTCAGGTTCGACCCGAACCTGACCTGTGACTCGAAATTGACACCCATAATATAAGTGGTAGGTATGAAATATTAAAATTTTAGTTGTTTAATAAATAAAAGAATTAAAATTTTAGTTGTTAGATATGTAAATAACATGATATAAAGTGGTTTGTATGTAAATCTCCCTTGTAATTATTTCTATATATATATAACCCTTTTTTATTGCATTTATATATTAAATTTTTTTAAAACATCCTATTTGGCTTTAAATGTCATTAACAACAATTTTGCCAATAAATTAAAAAATTAAACACCCTTACTTTTAAGATTAAAGCATATTTAACTCTCCAAATGGCATCAAATTATTGCCGTTAATCTGATACCAAAAGCTCTTTAATTTAATTATTTTAATTATTTGAAAATTCCATGTTAATAAAGTGTTAAATTATCCCTTTTATGCTGAATCTTTCAATTTAGTGTTAAGACGAAGATGAGGACCCGCTCATTAATTAATTTTGAATACAGTAAAATAATTTTATTACTTATTTAATTTGCTTCAAAGTAAATTAATATAATATAAATTTACTTAGTTAATAAATAAGATTTGGTGGCATTTATAATGCAACAGATTCATGAAGATGAGGAGTTCACAGGTAAATAATTTCATTTAGAATAACCAAAAAATATAACTTAATATTTAAAAAGTTCATTTTTATTTATAGAAAAACGAAAACCTTTAATTTAATCATGAGTTAAGAAATTGTGGATAATTACATACACATCATCCATTGCTTTTTTTGGGATGACTTTTTTACTGCTTCTTAAAGCAAAATTTTAGTATTAAAATTAAAAATTTTGTACTAAATTACTTTAAGAAGCAGTAAAAAATAATCTGGAGGCCAATCAAAATGCGCCACGTCACCCCCTGCTCGGTACCGTTGACTTGGTGTATTCTAATTGGCCTCTGGACGGTGAACTGCATTTGGCGTCCGCACAAAATAATATGTCCTTAAATAAAGCGTAAATCTTAGCTACATGCAAAATTAATATCCATGACATTTTTTAAATTATCAAACCAAATTATTATTGTAATAAAATGAAATGAACATTAACAAAACTAAAGGAGTAATAATAATCCATTAAAATTGAAAATAGAGAATTTTAATAACTTTACACTTAGATTTTTGAATATGAATATATTAAGATGAGACTGGCTAATGAGTTTAGTTTGGGCTCGCTCAAAATTGATTTATCAAATATTGAAGTTCAGTTTATTAGTCATTTATCATGCTAGACCTAAATGTATTCATAAGTTGACTTAGATTTCGTTTCTGACAACTTTTTTATTATTTTTTGAAATAATTTTCTGATACAAAAATTTTTTAACTTTTTAGTTTAAAATTTTTTATACTTAAAAAATAAAAATATGGTCCATGGTCCCAAATGAAACTTTAATTCAACTATTCCTATAATGCTCATATTTAATAAATATGAAGCTTATGAAGAATTATAGAATTAATTTTTCCTAAAACGTTTAAAATGTGAATTCTTAAAATATAGATGGAATTTAAATTTAAGATAATAATAATAATTTTTTAAATGCTTTGTCATCTGAATAAATTGACATTTACAAAAGAGACATTTTTTTTAAAGTATTAAACAATCATACATTAAAAAAAAGTATTGCTCGTGTCTATATTTTAATTGTTTATTAAATAAAATAAAAATTTTAAATAAAAATGATTATTATTGGGTTTTAATATATTCAACCTAAAAAAGAAATAATAATAATAATAATAACTCCAAACCAAACCTGAAAAGTTGTGGCTTGAACTCCATTAGCATTATCTTATATCCCCTTCACAGCTCTTCCCCCCGCCTTCCTCCTCCCTCTCTAACCCCTCGTCCCCATGCCTATACGCGAACCCTAACCCTAATCTTAACCATTTATCACCAAATTAAGCGAAATTAAACAGAAAATGGAACAAAAAGCCCAAGCTGAAGCACAATCGAAGCTCTATCCACTACCCAACGGGGCCGTCAAGAAGTCTCACCACCCGCATCCGACCATCATCCACCGGGAGTGCCTCAAGAACCACGCCGCCAGCCTCGGAGGCCATGCTCTTGACGGTTGCTGTGAATTCATGCCGTCGCCGGCGGCGACCCTCGCGGACCCCACCTCCCTCAAATGCGCGGCTTGCGGCTGCCACCGTAACTTCCACCGCCGGGTTTCGTTCGCTGCAACTTCAGCAGAGGAGGATGAAATCGAAGGTGAAGTAGAGGGCGAAGGACGCGGCCGGAAGAGCTCCAGCGCGGGCCGGCAGCCCCTTTCTTCATTCTTCACCTCGGCGCCTCACACGCTTCTTGCTCTCAGCCGCGACGAAAGGCCTTCGCCGGCATCGGTGTCGAGGAAGCGGTTTCGGACGAAATTTAGCGCGGAGCAAAAGGGGAGGATGATGGAGCTGTCTGAGAGGCTTGGTTGGAAGTTGCAGAAGAGGGATGAGGGTTTGGTGGAGGATTATTGCAGAGAGATTGGCGTGGGAAAAGGTGTTTTTAAGGTATGGATGCATAATAATAAGTATCAGTTGTTTAGGGCTTTGGGAAGAGGAGACGGAAGGAGTAATGTCGCCGGAGTTGTGGGTGGTGGAGATGGGCGGATGGGTGAGGGGAATGGAATTTGCGGCGAGGCTGATGGAAATGTGATGAATGGTTCTTCTTCTTCTTCTTGAAGAAATAAAAATCTGTTTTTTAGGTTTTTTTTTTCTTCTTCAAGTTGTGATTCGCAGATGAAACGAGGAAGACGATTGTGGGCGGGAAGAAAGAAGAAGAAGAAAGGTACAGTTGTTTTTGTTGTCCTCTTTTACTGAAAAACAATTTTTTTTTTGAAAAAGTTTTTTTTTTTTTTTGAGAAAGTTAAGTATCGAATTATAAAATTTAAAATTTTAGTAAAATTTAATTTGGAGAATTTACCCTTCTAAATCTTTATATTTATTTATACAATTCTTACAATTTTAAATCGTATTAAAATAAATAAAAAATTTCTAATATAATTGTAAATAATTAAATATCCCAATTTTTAGTATTTTATTAATTAAATTAGTTGATTGCCATGATAATAGGGATTAAATATATAATTAAAATTTATAGGCAAATTCTTAAAAAATTTGTAGCAAAATAATATTATTTATTCGAACGATCAGTGTTTTTTAGTTTAATTTTTGAATTATGGGATTTTTTTCATTTCATGAATTAATCTTAATTGCTCCTTTTTAGTACTTAATTATGGTATAAAACATCCTTAATATTACTTCTAGGTTTTATAAGTTACCTTAAACTAACAACTTTATGCAAATTGAAATTTGAAATGTGTATTTTTGTAAATACCACGCATTTATATCAGTTCTGAGATCTGATATATTTTTATGACTCGATTTATTGCATGCCTTTGTTTGGAGGTGGTGGGTGGAAAACTTTTAATTGCAGATTTATCCGCGGGTTCGGATACTCACTACTTATCACAGAGTGGAAAATTATAAAATTCTACTTTTTTATTTATTGTAGATAATTATTATTTTTAAATAATAAGTAGAATAAGCTTCAATCTTATAAAATATATTTTTAAAAAATTTGGATTTAATGCTATAAATTAAATAAGGGATGTTTTAATATTAATTCTTTTAATTATTTGTAAGCTATAGTATATTAGTATGTAATAATGCTGGCTGTAAAGCAATATGAGAAAGGCATGCAGTTTGTTAATCATATTTAATTATTATATTATTCTTAATAATGCATGAAAGATTTGCATAATAGGAGGCATTAATAGGTTAATAGTTCATACTGTTGTGGGCTAGAATATTCGTGATGGTAAAATAGAAAAAATTATGCCGCTTAGCGTTGTATGAGTATCCAGTTCACACAAAAAAAGAGTAGAAATATAAGAATTTTTTTTTAACGTTAAAACATTGAAGGGAAAAATCACGGGGTCATATCCAGTTGAAATTGATCAACTAGTATTTGAATAAATTACAAATAATTGATGCATCTTGAAACTTGAGGGCGATCAGAGCGGGTGCTCGGGCAGATCCGGCGTTAGTTGGTGTCTGGGTAGAAGTCAGACGATGGTCAGTGGTCCGACGGTGGTCGAGGAGGAATTTGGTGGCAAGAAAACTCTAGTTTTTCCCTCTTCCTTCTCTTCCTTGCTTCAATCCCCCCAAGTGAAGAATGGAGAGCTTATTTGTAGTTTTTTTGGGATTGACATGACCGATAAATAGGAGGGAGATCAAGAGTATATATGTTGAGAGTGGTTTGAATGGATAATCAATATTGATCTCTTTGACCGTGGACCATTTACTGGGCCTTTGAATGTCTTAATGATGTCAGAATTTGACAATCTTGGGTTCGTTGGATTCATCTCGTCTAGCCGCTCGATTCGACTATAAGCATGTTACATTTGGAAATCGTTTAGTCATCCAATTTATGGTTTGAACCTTCAAATGCACTTTGAGTCTTCGATTTGGACTCATTTGAGTTCAAATTGAGTCGAATTTTGTATCATAAGGTTCGTCTTTTTGAGACGTTCAGTTTGACTACAAGTTTGCTAAAATTAGAGTTTGGATAGTCCCTCCAACTTGATCTTGCCTCAAGATTCGTGCCCGATAAAGATAATTTTTTAATGATATATCAAATATTAATAATAAATTTTATTTTGGTTAATGATTTTTTTGATAGATTAAAATCAATTAATTATGCGTAATTAATAACTTTATTTTAATTATAAAGACTCGTAATATTTAATCTAATTCAATATTACAATTTTAGTTTTTTAAAACACATATGATCAACATTTTTTGTGATGTAAATATCAAGCTTCGACAAACAAGTTTCTCTAAAAGAAATTCATAGAAAAAATTAACCTATATAATATTGTGAGGTGCGGATAATTATCCATAAATTTATTTAAAACAAAATCACATATATATTTTTTAATATGAAAAATTTGAAATAATCTGCAAGCAATAATAATAATAATAAATATGAAAGTGCCGTTTTAGCCTTTAGTTAGAAAGCATGGAAAATAGTGAGCAGTAAGATCACTATCCAGGAAAAAAACAGCGTGTGAGGATAAAGATGAAGATATTCTGTGGTTTTGTGGAAATTTGTATGATTAATATAAAAATGTATGAATAATTAAGGTAGAAAAAAATAATGGATGAGAGCAGAGATGATTCGAAATTTGTATTGTTCTTATGAGGGAATAAGATAGAATTAATTTTGAATAGAATTATTGAGTTTATAAAATGATTTAAATAAATTGATGAGGCTGTTTAGGGGGAGTAATTATTACGTCCGGACAAAAAATCGGAAATCCGGATGTATACTGAGCAATACCGAGTTTCAGGTGATGTGGCGCGAGATTGTTGGTCTCTAGACGCGTCCGGTGACCTGACGTAATAATTGCTCGTTTAGGGGGGGGGGGGAGAGAGAGAGAGATGTAAAAAATTAAATTAAGGAGCTTTAGTTTTTCAAAAAGAGATGATAATAGTAAAAGGAGCCACATTAAATTCTCTTTTAAAAGATGTAAAGAGACCCCAAATAGTGTTTGAGTGTCTAATGTTGGTAAGTATAATCATTGACAACAAAACAAATAAGAATATCTGGATTTAATGTCGATGAATTTCAAATGGGAAAAACAATACAGAGTCACATCATACAAAGAAACCCCCCTATGAAAAATGGAACAAATTGTAGAAAACTTTTTCACACACTTTCTATTTATCTCTATTTACTTCACACATACATTAATTCACTCAAAACAGATAAGAGACGCACTTAAAAATATCTAAAATACACAACCCTTTAAGTGAAATGAGAGGAAGAGGGAAAAGAAAAAATTGATGCACATGACTCACAATGTCGCGATGCCGGGATTTGTAGCACCTTAGCACTCCACTCATTATCTCCAGCTCAAAGCTAAGCGATGCAGCGCTTTAACATACAACATTACAATGCTATATGTGTTGGGGATGATGAGAAATAAACACCACAACGATGAAACAAGCAAGCATGTTAAAGCAGCGGAAAAGTAAATGACACCAGGATTTAACGTGGAAAAGCCCAAAATAGAAAAAAAATTATGAAGCCACATCACACCATGAAATAACTGTGTAAATTTGAAGATATAAGTACATATCTCTCTTTTCCCTCACTCTCTCATTGCTTTTCTTCTCACATGAATTGCTCTCACATTTGTCCTGACTAAAAATACAAGAGAAAGCCCAGTAAAATAACTCTAAGGGACGCAACCTTTTAGAAAATGAGAGAAAACCGTCCAATCCGTCTCACAGCACTGCGGCGCCAATTCGAAGCGCTGTAGTGTTCAATCATCTGTCCACCCGTGGTGCCATATCTAGGCCAATGCGGTGCTCTGCTCTCTGTCGTTCAGGGCTGGGGCGCTCGTAAACACAACATCGGGGTGCTCGGGTATGCAACATCGGAGTGTTGTACCCGAACCAAAGCATGGGGTAAACCCCTCACAATCCCTAGTAGACACGATAAGCCTTGAGGTCCGAGACAACTGAATAACCATATTGATCAACACAAACAAATTCCACACAAACTATATGATTGTACAGACATAAAATATTGTGAGCTCCACGTTGAGCTAGACCGACATAATTGAGATTTGAGTCAATAGTACAACCCCATTGATAGACACAATCAAATTACACATTGAACTAACATCAAAAGAGATCAATATTGATGAACAATTTATATTTTGCTTCATATTACTTTTTGTTTGTCTTGTTCTCTAGTAAATGAGTCAAACTTGAACAAAAATCTTTCACTTAATTATTTAACAAGTTGAGTGCAATATTAAATAAGAAAGGACTTCAACGCAAATTAAACTTCTTGTAAATTCCTTATAGTAGTTTTCTAACCGCTTTTGCAATTGCTAAAGCATTTTAAGACCTTTTTATCTTTTTACTTTGAAATGCCAACAATACTTCATAGGGTTGGTGTTCCCTATTACATTATTTACATTCATTTGAGCTAATGATTTCATCGCATAGATCTGATCCTTTCAATATATATCCTCATTTCTGTTCCTAATATCTTTCAGTTCTGCCTAATCCAAAATTTTCATAGCCGATCTTAATCAACGAGGACACTCCTAAATCCTATCTCTTATTTATATGTATATATGGTGTTAGCTTTTAATGAGTATACATAAAGAGATAAAAAAGATGATTTAGGCTTCGTTTGGGACGGTTTTCTTACTGCTTCTTAAAGCAGCTTTTTAGTATAAAATTTTTAATTTTTAAACTAAAAAGCTATTTTAAGAAGCAATAAAAAAGCTGATCTAAACAAAATCTAGGAGTGTCCTCATCGGATAAGATAAGCTATAGATGCTTAGTTTTGTTTGAAATGGTTGTTATCCAACTATGTTTTATTCTTCGAATGTGTTCATTTTTTATGTCTTTTATGGACAATTTGGCCTCTTCTCCAAGTGGCAAGCTGCCTGAGCTTTCTTTAGGTTTCAAGGCTTTATGACTTTATACTTCCACTACCAAATCACTTCAAGGATTAGGGGATAATCTGGCTAGTTTGGATAGCTATGAGGATTTGGTTAAGTAGTTGAGCAATGGTCATTGATGATAATGATAGTAATAATGATGATGATAATGACCAATTAAGATAATAATAATGATGATATAGAAGTAGCAAATGATTTAGAAAGAGAGAGAAGTATGATTCCATTGTTGTAATTATTTAAAATATTGTGCTATATACCAATGCCAATAAATAAATGGTTAATTTATTGATATATATATATATGGTATTTTA